ACACACACACACACACACACACACACTCACACACACACACTCACTCACTCACTCACTCACTCACACACACGCGCGCACACAGTCTCACACACACAAACACTCGCACACACACACACACTCACACGCGCACGCACTCACACACACACTCACACTCACATGCACACACACACAGGGCCGTTTCTAGGCATAGGCGAGCTAGGCGGTCGCCTAGGGCGCCACCAGCTGAAGGGGCGCCAATGAGCGCACGTACTGGCACTTTTAGCAGGGTTGTGATAAAGAGTGGCACGGTCATTATGTACCATCAGTGCCTGATAATTTAATTTAGTGGTTTACTTTGAAATTTAAGATGTTAACGTTGATTATTACATGGCTCTGTGGAATACTTGATTTTGATTGGTCAGTCGCGACATTCCGAGGTATGTTATCCCTCGATAACAACCGGTAAAAGCTGATAACACAGGCTAATCCGGGTAACTGAAGTCAGCGCTATACTCTTGCCTAGGGATGTAACGGTATGAAAATTTATCACGGTTATCAGTATTATCACGGTATTGTTAAAATGTGCTGGAGATGTTAAAAAAGTATCGACACATAAATCACTTCACCAAGTTTTATATTTAAAAATCAACAAACAACAATAAAATTACACATTTTGTTTGCATAATCACTAAAACAATAACATTACCAATGATGTTCGGATTTTAAATGACAGTTTGACTGACAACAGTTTAATAGCATGTTCAAATATCTAATGTAAATGTTCAAATAAAGCTTTGAATATAAGTTGAATCTGTAATGGTGTAGATGTTCAAAAAGTTCTGACACATAAATCACTTCACCAAATTTTATATTTAAAAATCAACAAACAACAAATAAAATGACTTTTTGTTTGCATAATCACTAAAACACACAAGATGTCAAAATCATCACTGGCTGCTGGTACTGTAACAGCTCATGTTATTTTTCAAGCTCAGAGGCTCTTTAATTAACGGCGTGGCACTTTTCAAAATTTAGCTTTCATTTTCAAATAACTAAGATGAAGTACAAGATCAGATGAGAGCCGTGCAGCAACACACAACCCACAGCAGACATGCGTCCTGTAAGCAAACACGCAAAAAACCCCAACAACACAATGACTTGAGTGACGTGTTCATGTGTTTATCTCGTCATGATGACTTCACGTTCACTGGTGCTGAATGTTAACGGCTTGTGAAGAGCAGCATTACAGAAAACTACTGACGAACAAGCAGCAGCACAATCACACAACATCTTCAATTACATGTGGATAGAGACTAAGCAGAGATTCGGTTTACCTCTACACACACACAGAGTAAAAAAACACTAAAAACAGAAAAACACGTTCATGATACAAAGTCATCGGCACACGTCAGATACAGAATGAAGTTGAGCTCACCACACGCCTCCGCAGCACAAACACGTCTGTGTGTGTGTGTGTTTGTGGCGCAGCTCCTGTCTGCCTCCGCTGCAGTCTGTCTCTAACTAACGCTGCTCTGTCAGCGCTCAGACTGTCTCTCTGACTCTGATGACGTCACAAGGCCGTCCCAGAGACAACGCTGACATGCTTTATTCTCATCTACTGGTGGCACACGTGCATGTGTACACACACACACACACACACAGAGACAGTGTGTTTTACATTGTCATGACGTGTTGATGCGTGGAACCAGCAGTCATGCATATGTTTCGCTGCTACAACAGCTGAAATAATGCTGCCTTCATGTGCTGTCGGAGTTATCATAAACACGAGTTTCCTAGTCGGAAATAGGGAAACTCTGAGATAATTTTGATACTCGAGTTTACGAGTTGGGAAGTCATAAACTTTAAACATGGTGGAGCAGAGAAATGTTTATATATATAAATAACTATTTAATGCAAATTATATGTATTGTACACAGTTACAACAGCATTTATTTGACCAAAAACTTGGCATTGTCAGCAAACTGAATATCTAAATAGTGTGGTGAATGTTTATATGGTTACCAGTGAATGAGATGCTACAATTTATTCAAAATCTGTCGGATATTGACTAAATATCTTTTATACATTTTGGCTTAAATAGGATTTCCCAAATAAATGAGCAAGAATTAACTCATTAATGGGCCGTCCTCCGTGATTCCTGTTCTTTCTGACAATGAAGCACATGAGCGCAACAAACTCGCAATTACAACTTCAGAAGCGGGAAATAGGAAATTTCCAATAGCATGTGAGGCAGCATGAAACGCTTCTCCTTACGAATCAACATTGATACAGAACCAATGTTGATTTTTCCAGTTACGTAAACCTGCATTCAGACACGTTCAGCGCACACAGTGATGGGTTTGGAGCAGGTAGACAAACTTGCTGCCAAGAGCAGAGCATCCAGACAGACTTTGATAAGCTCTCAAATAGGGTTGGACGATGTCTACGGTGAAACGTCGTGATGGACGATGACATCGGGGGGCGGGGTTAGGGGTGTGCCCGAAGCGTGAAACAAATAACGCGTTATACGGAGCCACTAAAAGGTTAGCCGCTTGCTAGCAGTAGCCTGTTGCATTACAGTACATGAAAGTTCACTTACCACATACACAGTAAGGAGAAATGTCTGATAGGATGATGGAGAATGATCTGCAGATCCTGAGCACCAATGACAAACATCTAATCTTGTCAAATGTGTGTTAAGTACTGCCGCTCCATAGTATAGAGTCCTTGTGACCGCAAATCTCAAAAGTGAAAGTAAAATGCAGTTTCAATAGCGGCTCCCTGATGCCCGCAATTTATATAAAGTCGCCTATACTTACCCAACGATATAATTGCGAGAAACGATGGACGATGCCCAACCCTACTCTCAAATGCTTCATACCACATCAAGCCTTCAGTCCCGCAGGCTCTGACCGACCACACCATCTCACACACTCTCCAAACCACGTGTCTTCTGTAGGGTCGTGGTGTTTTCTTTTCATCTTGCCTGAACAATGCATATTAAAGAAGTGTTCATAAGCGCAGCTCTGCTTTGTTTACAGCGGTAACCAAGGAAACACTGTATCATTGCTGTTCATAAGCAGCTCTGCTTTGTTTACAGCGGTAACCAAGGAAACACTGTATCATTGCTGTTCATGAGCGCCACCTGCTGGCAGAGAGTGAATCTGCGTCTCATTCAGCTCATCTGCTGTTTCCTTCAGATATGTTTTATGTAGTATAGACCATTCTCTCTCCTCTCCACCTGTAGCTGGTGTGTGGTGAGCGCACTGGTGCCGTTCTGTGGCTGCCGTCTCATCATCCAAGTGGATGCTTCACACTGCTGGTGGTTGAGGAGAGACCCCCCCCCCACATGATTGTAAAGCTCTTTGGGTGTACAACAATACACAATAAAGCGCTATATAAATGCATCATTCATTCATTCTGTTTTTGCTTCAAATTTCGAAATTATACAGTCTAATTTAAATTAAAAACTACTCATGCTGCATCTTTGTTTGGATCATGATTAAAATGCAGTGGTTGCCTCTTATTTTAAATGTTAAGAGCACAGACAAAGCCTTAGTTTGTTTATATGAAGAGATTTATTTGATTTGTGTAACTTGTTTGATTTGGGGTTTGTTTTAAAATTTCAATTTAGTTTTGCTATATTTCAATTTCACAAAGAAACGTGCAGCAATAGCCTAATAAAAGACACCTTTTCATTTACTGTATAATGTCTTCAATCTCATTTTGTTAAAAAAATCATGAGAAATTGAATTGTGAAATCAAAATCATGAATCGAATCGTTACATCCCTATTCCCTACAAATCACAGACATTACAGACTGACAGCCATCAGCCGTCATATATTCATACACCGGCTCTGCGTGCGTTTCTGTCTCCCGCAGCACACTCGCACCGCTCCAGAACCACTCCGAGAGAGACAGACGGGTAAATGAACGGACGGCATTATAGTTCTCATACAATATCCTTCCTTAGATTCATTCAGAAACTCCCTGAAGACACGCCAGGGTTTCATTATCAATCTCTCCTCTTCTTCTGCTTTATTTTCAGCTTTAGACAAAGCGTTGAAGCTTTTCAGTGAGATCAGTGACACGCATGTCACATCCAATTCAAGATTATTTCACAGGCTCTCAGAGATCAATGAATAATCAGCAGCATTAGCATCTAAAATGTTATCTAACACTTCATGTGGCAAAACTGATCTGAAGTCACGATGACCCTGGCCCTCAAACGGGTCATCATTTGGACACAAATAACTGGAATAATCCTTTATTCTCTGTCTGTGATTCGCTGCAGACCTTCCGGCTTTCAGGATGCTGGCGGTCGTGTTGCGTAACAGTCTGACTGTTTCCAGCACAGAGCAACCCTCGTGTTGTCAAACAAGCTTCATGATACGTCTGTCAACTTAATGGCTCAACACTACTCACAGTCTTTCTCGTCTCTGTCTCTCTTCTAGTTATGAGCTCCGCTGCCATGCTATTTCAGTCCCCCGATCTGTTCCTGATGTTCGGTCTCTGCTCGTTAGCGCTAATGGATGTTGGGTGAGGCGAGGGCCGATCTGGTTTCTGTCAGGAGGTGTGTGTTGTTTGTTGTGTGATGATGTTGTGAGACATGAGGGGCGTCTCGAAGGCCGTTATGAGTGCGTTCACACCAGGACCGGGAGCAGCGATGAAGTGATGGTTTCAGCGCCGAGTCTATTTTTGCTGTGCTGTTCACGTTCGATTAAAGTGACCGCACACTTTTGATGGACAAAATAAATATGATTTCACATAAATAATAATCATGTCTAGTGTGTTTAACAAAAGATTTGGAGTATGTCAGAAAAGAAAATGAAAAATCTAAAATATGTATAGAAGATTTACCCATTTAAACTTGTTTTTCATTATTCAGTTTGGGTTAAAGTATGGTGTATTATTAAAAAAACATTAAAACAGCACGTTCTATATTGAAGTATGACTGAAACGACATGTTTTGATCTGTTTTTGTTGTTTACCATTTACATGCGAATCCCCATGTTAACAAACAAGACTTTAAAACTTTCAAGTTTATAACTGAACAACTTCTAAAAACAAATTTATAGTTGTCTTTGTAAAGAAACCTGTAGCTTTGGAGCCGCTGCTGTGACGCTGTACAAACGCTTCCAGTGTGAATACTCTCACGAGTCTGCAGCTGCAGTGATGATGAAGTTACGCTGATGTGAAGCTAAGCTAGTGGTGTGAAACAGGCGTAAGACGTGAACCTCCTCAGCGGCGCAGCAGACAGACTTGAACTTCTTTATTGGAGAGCTGTTTTTGTTGGCATCATTAGATACTCTGCTAATTGCACACACACAAAAAAAATGGTTGTGGTCGAGTGCCATCACACACACAGAGAAGGCCTGCGTGACGTGTGCTTGGATCATCAGAGGCGAGCAGGTTTGGACAAGCCCCGTGCAGAGAGTCCTGCTCGTCCTCCAGTCTACAGGATCAGCACACAACGGCTGCAAACGCATTTCCCTAACGTTTCCTTTGTTTGTTTTACAAACTAAGGGCCGAGTAGCACAGCAGTGATGTTTGTGATTCCACCATCATCTCTGATGTAGCAGCGCAACACGACGTCTGGGTGATGATGTCACACACACACTCACACACACACACACAGACACACACACACACACACTCACACACACACTCTCACTCTCTCACTCACACACACACACACACACACACTCACTCAC